AATTCAAAAGATTTTAACTGTTAGCAAAGTCCGAAAACATGTTAAAATATTTAGATCTTGTGAACAAATGAGAGCATCACTAGTTACTAATAAAAGCAGTTTACCTAAAAAATGTTATTAGACGATGGTGTTGATATGTTGGCAAGTTGAGCGTTACTAATGGAAATCTAAAAGAAAATATTCTCATACTGTTTTATGGTTGGAAAACAGAGGAGTATGTCAATAGGTTTTCAAGTAACTGTTAATTTTTTTCAATAGTACACCAAATGTCTGTAAGTTAGCTGTTACACAGAACCTGAAAACATATCAATGATCTCCATATTTCATTTCAGCCATACAAATATTTTATGAGTACAAACCCTTTCATCACAAAGAATATTTACTTGCACATACCAAAATACATATTTTTGTATGCACATTATGGTGTAAACCTCGAATATCCCTAAAAATCTTCTAGGTTCAGAATTGGAGATTTTGGAAAGTGATTGAATCAAAGGGATGCTATACTTACCAGTGGACTGATTCAATGTTGAGTTTATACCTAAATGTGCTGGTAAGAGCTAGGGTGCTATTGGAGGAGAAGTCACTGGACGCATACCTTGGGCGGGTGTATCTCTATTACTGACTCTCCCTTTTATTCCTGCTTTCTGGCTGCCATGAAGTGAGCAGCTTTTCCTCTAACATGTTCTTTCTCCATGATCTCTGTGCCTTGTAGCCAGCTGATCATGGACTAAATCCCCTGAACCATGAACCAAATTCAACCTCTCCTTTTAAACTGTGGGAATCAGGTACAGTGTCCTAGCAACAGGAAAGCTGACCAATGCATTTTATTATAAGTCTCAAATTATTAGTTAATCTGTATATAATGACAACTGAAGTAATGTTCATAAAAATGGCTTTAAAGTTAAAAAATTTTAATTTTCCAACAACTATGGCAAGTATAGATTTCAGAGGAGAAATCTCATGATCATTTCAGAGATTAAAAGGGTTTTATTGATATGTCAGTACTGTAAAAGAAAAACTTCAATATGTATATATATACTAAGTACTCACAATGAATATATTTATTATGTATTGCAAAAATACACTAATACAAAAAGGAAAATACCCTCAAAATCCATAGTCCGTATAACAGTGTTGCTTGATTGGGATTCCTGTTATCCTTAATAGTCAAGAACACAACCACTTCAAGTAATCAACTAGTCATGAATTCTCAAGATTAACCGCCCATTTTAAACTAAAATATAGAGTATTATAAAACATCTATATGCAGATTTTTCCATATCGGAAATAAAACCATATTCAAAGCATTAGATATGAAAATGCTTTAGGGATTATTTTAATTGGTTTGAACAATTTTTCATATCAGAACATATAACTTTTCCCATATAGTTTTAAAATACTATTGTTTGTAGAATATACAATGTTGTCAAAAATTGTGATACAAAAACTTGTGTCAGCATTCAATTATTTCACACTAAATTTAAAACTGAACAATACAATGAAGACCTCTATGTAGAATTGTCTTGCCAAAAGTTCTAATCACTACAGAATAAGTAAATAAAAATCACAATAAACAAGTGATAAATAAATGTCACTTATAGCAAATAATTTATATACCTAAAAAATGAAAATAAATTTAAGAACTATTAGAATAAGAAATACAAGAAAATAATCTAAATATAAGATTTGTATCTAAAAACAAAAAAGACATCATAAATTTCTGCATTTTTAAAATTTTCTTGTGCAAAGAATATACTTAATTATGACCTAAATAATGTTAAGAACAAAAAAAAATCATAAAAAGGTGTGACAAAATACTGAAAAAGTCAATTTAAAGGAGAAAAGCTTTATTTTAGCTCATGCTTTTATAAGTTTCAATCCATGGTTATCTGTTTTCATTGCTATGAGTCTAAAATAAGTCAGAATACCATGATGGAAGTGTATGGAGGTGGAAAACTCAACCATGGCAGGCAGGAAGCAGACTAGGGCACAGCCTATGGCAACAGGCTTTTTCCTTCTCCCACTTTTGGTCCACCAGCTTTTGGATGATATGCCCACATTTAGGGCCAGTCTTCCCCGTTAGTTTGCCATCTCATATGTCAATATTCTTTGGAAATTCTTTCACAGACACACCCTGAAGAATGCTCCACTGATCTGCTCATCTCTCAGTTCAATCAAGTTGATGATCAAGATTAACCATCACAAATACATTTTAATATCATAAATTTTTAAATTAATTAACAATTCACTTTTGTAGACTCATTGTCTATTAACATGACAGCTGGTGATATAACTGAAAATACTCTTTGCCTTCAGAGAAGACATTCCTTTTTATTTCCCCAAATATGGGTGCCTTTACCACAGACATCTCTGCAGCACAATAACAGCAGAAAAATTCTCAGGAGGTAAATTGTGCCATTTTTAGCCCAAAAGCAAGAGTTAACCATGGTAGACAAATGCAGATAAGGAGAACTGCTTCTTTCTATGTTTTCCAAGGGAAGCAACAGATGGCTGGAATGAGTTAGAATCTTTCCTTAAAGACACGGTATTATTTTGGAAACAAGAAACCTTGGTCACTGGGGCCTGGTTGGGAGGGATTATAACTGACTTCAAGTAGAAAGTATTTCATGTGTCTAAAGTTGACAAGTTATCTAGTGAAATGGAACACTACTAAAATAATTACTATAACATGCCATCACTGCTCAAAACTAGATAGTAATTACACATCTAGATTTCTTGGTAACTAAAATGGTTACTATATATTTTGCATTTTGATATCATAAGACTAACTAGAAAATAAACATACATACCACCAACATATGATATTCTAATGCATGAGTACTGAATTATCTTAATAATGAACAATTACATTGTTCTTAAAAGCTTTTAGAATTAAGAATAAAAATTAAAAGGTTTCATGTCCAATTTATGTTCTGACTATCCTAGGAAATATTTTACATAAAGAATTTTATATTTAGAAAAGAAAAATTGTTCAGTAGAATTTTCAACTGCGTAGTTGTACTTGAGGAAAAGACACAACACTACAAAATGGTCTCTTTGTGAGTCTGTTTATTTCCATTGCGGGTATTCTCATCAGTTTTCTTCAGACAAAAATCTTTCAATACTTTTCAACATAACTCTTCATTTGTACCCAGATTTAAATATTTTGTTATACAAGTTACTACCAAATTATTCTAATAAAACTCTTAGCAATTTATCCCTTCAACACCAGTCCAAACTTGATCCATCCAGGAAGTCTTTTTGCCTCCAAAGATTCTAAAAGTTGTAGTTTATACCAAAGTCAACTGAAGTCATCCAAGAAAAATCTTCCCTTTGTGTTTGTTATGCTGTCTATAGATCAATTTTGGTATCTTAATTAAAACCAAAGACAGATGATATGTGCCAAATAAAGAGTATTTCTCAAATTTGGAACCTTTTATAAACACTGTATTTGAAAATAATTACAAGTTGTTAAAGTTTAACTCTGAAGTGTTCCCCAAAGGTTCAGGTACTGATCCCTCATGCAGCAGACCAGAGGTTTAGTCTAGAGAGGTGACAACTGTTAAGAGTGCTAGGCTGTAAGAAGGAAAAGCATATTGGAAGAAGCACAAGTCACCAGGGTTGTCTCTTTGAAGGCTGTATCTTATCGCTCGTCCCTTCTCACTCTTTCCTCCTTTCTTTGTGTCTTATCTGTCATTATATGAGTTGCTTTTTACCATCGTGCAAGACCTACCCAGATGTTCTGCCTCCTTACAGGCAATGGAGTCATATGACCATGGATAGAAACCCCCGAAACTGTGAGCCAATGATTTTCTCAGAAATTTTGTCACAGGGATGAAAAGTTAACATGTTATTAGTAATTGTTTTACTTCTAAAATTAAAATAAATGTTGTTCTAAAAAACTACTACCAACATTCTTTAAAAAACATTCCTCAAACTGAGTCTAGAAATCTGAAGGTTACTTACTAGCTGTCTGAGATAGTATCCTTTTATAGCACTTAATATCTCTAAGTATTTCATTGATATCTGACACTATTTGTCATAATCATTTATTGGCCAAAAGAGATGTGAAGTCACATTCTTTGTGAGAACAAGAAGTCTGAAAAGATGGTATATTTTCATTTACAAGACTCCTAACTCTAAGATGGCAAAGCTGCTGCCCAACAACTGAAGGTGTGCATGCCAGAAAATGCTCCTTCCCATTCCACTCCAACATAGCAGACTGACTAAAGCAATAGACGCTGAGAATGTTTTAATAAATATATCCCTTTGGAACTTTTCCACCAAATTAAATTAATAAATTGATGAGCAAATGATTTGGCTTACTCAGATAGGAAGCACAGGACATTTTTAGGATGAAAATATTGCAGACTATTCTCAGAAGTAAATCCTTAATATGAAGTTATATTACTAATATAGACAGTGTGGGGCATAGAAAAAAATAACCAACAAACCCCTAAAACTGAGAATAAAAGATTCAAATATTTAAATTTTCTGGTATTAAAAATAACAAATGCATGTATAGAAGATTAAAAGTACTGAATAATTTTTAAAGTGTTGAATTACTATGAACTGATTCAAAAATAAATATTAAAAGCCATCATATATTTAGTATGAGGGTTTGTAATCATACTCAGAAATTTAAATTGGAATATAAACTATTTGCTGCTAAATACAGGAGTTGTAAAATTTAGACCTTTGATATAATAAAAAGAAACACAAATAATATACAGCACTCCAAAGAGAAATAGCACATCACCATACACTAGAAAACATTCAATTTTCTTGTAGACAAAATTTTTTACCCTAGAGATTTCAAATATTTTTGAACATGTTAAATTTTATGTACTATTATGTAATATTTAATGTACAAATGTCCAGCTAACATTTTGAAAAGATTTATGGAAATTATATTTTATTGTATTTTATTACAATTTCTTACAAGAGGAATTTTTGTTGCATTTTGGATTATTTTAAGTATGTAAATCAACACCTACCTGATAAAGAAGGTCTTTTTGGGGCAAAGGTGGGGATTGTTCTTCATATACAGGAGGTGGTTTATGTGTAGGAGGAAGGTCGATCCTGTGTTTAAAAAAGGAGGCAAAAAAAAAATCAAGGTTCTAAAAACTTTTGATTTTTTTCATAGTACAAAAAATAATTACAATTGTACGTACATATATTTTATTTTCCTTTCATTTACTAAACACAGAAAATAACAGTAAGTATAAGTTTCAGTGTTGAAGACCAATCTGACAGACTCATATTTAGTTCAAACACTTACATAGAAGTTTTTGAGAACCTCAAAGCGCATTTATTTTCCCTAAGATATGGTCTGTTGTATCACTGACACATTGGAGGAAAGAAAAAAGACATATTGATATGACTATCCTTAAAATGTTTTTAGGCATAGCCAGATGTGGAAGCATGTAACATTTAAGTAAATTGATCATACACTATTAAGCATGCAGTATTTTATAGTTTTTTGGAAATACTGTAAAGACCCATTTTCAAAAGCCCACCTCACTCTTCCAATAAGAGTTTGAGTCTATAAGCTGTTATAAACCTTGCCACTTGAAATAGAGACCATTATACCATTATATCCTAGGTATATGCATATTTTTGTAAAATGACCTGAAGCTCCAATATTTGAATACATTTTCTTTTTCTTTGTGGTACTGGGGATTGAACTCATGACCTCGTGCTTGCCAGGCAGGCGCTTATCCCTCTGAGCTAAATCCCTGGCCCTTGAATACATTTTAAACATCATTTAATTACAAGAACAGATTTAATTATATCAGTCAATGAATTTTACGAAAAAATATTTTACATTCAGTCTTTTCAAGATCATAGATATTTTCATTATTTGTGACTAGTAAACAAAATTTTATCTATATTAAATAATAAAGGAAAAAAGCTACAGACACAAGTAAAAAACTTGTTTGGTCCAATAATAATTCCTACGGTATTAAAATCTCAAATGAACAATATTAAAAACAAATATTATAGTTAATGACAATCTATTTTTAGCCTAGTAATAAATCAAATAAATCAAATAAAATTTGAAGTTATAGAAAAGCCCAAGGTAATTTTGGAACAAGATTAGTTCTTAAATTAATTAGCCACATACCAATGACTCTCAAAATATTAAAAACACCAGTCCTGTAGGTATCATACTGAATGAACATCTTATTACATTTCATTGTTCCATCTAGTGAAAATCACAGCAAATGTAACTTTAAGATGTCAATGATAATTTACGTGAGAAACCTGAGGCTCATGAAAGTGACCTGACTTACTTTTAGTTACACCACTAATTTGATCATGATAGAATTTAAATTTGCTGTGTCTTTAAAAAAACCAATGCAGGGGTTGAGGAAATAGCTCAGCCAGCACAGTGCCTGCCAGACAAGCGCAAGGTCTCGAGTACCCAAAAGAACATTCATATTAAAGAAGCACAGACATATAGAATGCATTTTAAAAAGGGATATATGCTTTTAATGGCAAGCTTTTAAAAATGTTTTTCCTACTTTTTCCTTTTCTTTGATATATGTTTGCAATATATAATTACTTCACTTTGATAAACTATATATACAAGTATGCACATTATCTATATCAGTGATCATTTACTGTCTCTATCCTTGTCTTCTTTCTTAATTTCAAAAATGTCTACCTTCTGATTCCTAACATGTCTCCATTCTACTCTTCACTTATAAATTGAATTTCTCATGTAAGAGAAACTATGCAATATTTAATCTTCTGTGCCTGACTTATTTCACGTAACATTTTGGTCTCAAGATCTATTTGCTTTTCCATTAATGACTGAAATTTATCCTTCCTTATGACTAACACTCCATAGTGTTTATATACTACATCTTGTTTATCTATTCATCTGTGGATGGGCACCTAGGCTGCTTGCATAATTAAACTACCCATGACTATGCACATATCTCTGTAATGTAGTATCCGTATCTCTTTTGGGAAGATACCTAGAAGGAATGTAGCTGGTTAAGTGAAATTGTTAGATTTCTAAAAAATCTCTACATTGACTTCCACAATGGTTGATGTAAAAGAAAACATTAATAAAGTACTCTACAAGTAATGCTATTTGTACAGAACTTCACTGTATAAAACAATACCATGTTATCTTATTTCCATCAAAATCATGTAAGAGGACAAGCATTGTTAATTTCACGTAACAGCAACAAAGCTGTTGATGGAATTAAGGGAATTGACACAGTGTAATTCCCATCTTATAAACCTATCTCAATGATTATGCCAAAGCACTGGTTCAATTTTAACTAAGGTATTCATTTTATACTTTACTAAAACTCCAAACCAAGCATTTTCCTTCAGAAGCATTAGAAGTTCATATATTTGAAAACTTGCGATGGTTGAATGTTCTAGGCATTAAGGACAAGCATCTGAAGATGCAACTTAAATTACTAAAATATTTTTATGTGTTTCACAGTTTTTCATTCAAAGGCCTGTACTTCTGTTCGAGGGAAAGGCAATATAAATGCCATTTGGAGAGATTTAATCCACTGAGGGTGGAAAAGCTGTCTGTAACCAGCAGCCCCTCCATGTTGTTCATTTAGTAAGGTGTAGTTTCACCTGTGATGAATTGAGCACTAACAATGGTCTGACATTATCCTTATTTCTCTCCCTTGGGTACCTTAAATAAAAACTGTGAAGACAGATATAAAGATGGATGCACAACGAGCACTTATAGGCGGAGGAGACAAATAAAAAAGTTACGTACACTTTGTCAAGGTAGGATGATCTCTTTTTCCGAGGAGTGAGCAGTGCAATCACAAAGACAGCAATGATGAACAGGGCCAGGACAGCTCCAATTACAGCTCCAGCTACGGCTATGGACGATGTCTGTTTAAGTGGAGCATCTGTAAAGTATCAAAAATTAGGCTATTCAAATAATTTAAAGAGTTCTTAAAACAGCATACCTTAATTTCTAAACTGTAAGGACTATCTGCAGTATGTTATCCAACAGCCAGATTAGAAGACCCAAAATCTGATTCGTTAGTTTCAGTGTAAGGATACTAACATCATTCCCTATTCCTTAAGCACCTCAGCTTCACTTTTCTCAAATTATGAAAAGAATATTCCCAACCAGACATCAACAAATTACTCTCATTATGATCAAGGAATACCTGAAGATGCATTAAAGATGAAAATAATTTTAATTTCTTACACTAAAAGGTGATTTAAAAGTCACTATTAAGATCTGAACAAAATAGACATTTATCATTTTTTTCTATTAAAATTACAAACAACTCTATTAAGGAAACAAAAAATCCTCAAGGGGAAAAGTAAGAGAAAACAATAGCCACGTAACAAATAAATATAATGTAAAAGAGACATTGAATTAAGAAATATTTTAAAATCATTTTAAAACAGGACTAAACATAGCAACATAGTAAATTCTTTCCCATTTGGCTCAGACACACTGTATCACCTCTGAACATAAATTTCCTTCCTAGACTGTATCACAAATTCTGTAATAATTTAATGTTTAGCAATTAGAATTTTGTACAACTACAAAAAAATTAAGTCACTCAATTTCATGAATTCTCAAATAAGGGAATCTATTAAAAGTAGAATTAACTATATATTTTCCAAAAAATAACAAAACCGTTAAGCCTTATATTACTTAATAATTCTAGGCACATTAAATCCACTGAGATGGTTCATAAATTAAAATAATATTGTAACATCTACTCAATGATACTGAACATTCTATTATGAAAATACTAGCTATGGTCCTGAGGTCATATGACTAGCACAAGATCATTCAAGCAAGCAAGCAGTAGAGAACAAGAGTGAAGACAAACAAGGTTGGGGTAGAGGTGTCACCCTTATGCTTTATTAGCAGAATGCTTTAGGCTTGTATTTTGGGTCCTCTATTTGGCAATGAAGAGCTTAGTTTCCACTTAATAATAATTTATTCACATATTATTGATTGAAGTTTTTTGGATTCAAGCACAAGAATTACCAAGTTTGAAATGTTTATTCTACTTACCAGTTATATCCATTAAACACATATTTAGACGTATTTTCCAACTCTTATTTTTATTAAAATGTGGGTCACATCAGACTTTTAATGGCTATGAATGTTTTACTTTTTTTCTAATCATAAATATTTCTTTAAATGAGGAATATGCTAGTAATTTTAATCTTAAAAAGCCCTAACAATCCTGGATCATTTCATTAGTCCCATTCTAGAATGAAAATCTTATACCAGTAAGTGCAAGTCAGCTATTTCAGTAAGCTTTCAAACAATGAACAGAATAAAAGTTGTGAAAATTACATGCCATTATTCTAACACATTACTAGCTGATACAGTTCATTAACTGCTCATTAATATTGCTCTAGTATTTCCATTCAAATATGTGCTAGATGAAAGACAGATTTGAAATCCAATACAATTAAACTTACTCTGAACTTATAAATGTGAAAAAGATTTGGGATGCTTTAACAATAATATAATTTACATTATCATTTTCCCCACCATGTAGATTACAGGTTTGGCCAACAGACACATACATGATTATTCAACGGGGTGTGGTGGCACATGCCTATAATCCTAGCACTAGGGAACCTGAGGCAAAATTTGAGTTTGGGGCCAGTGTGGGTTACTAGTGAGTTCACGGCCAGCCTAAACGACATAGTGAGACCCTGTCCCACAAAAGGGAGGGGGGAAAGGGAAGACGGGATGAGAGAAGGAATAAAACAATGTTTTTAGTAACAGACCAATTAAAATGTGATTTGACTAACGTCATTCACTGAGTCATTGGTATATACAAACATTTCAAACATCAAACTTGCTACTTATTCCTCATGTGTTATTCTGTCTCCCTCTAATGAAATTCTTTCTTTTGGTATAGTATAAAGCAGCCTTACCATTTTGTCCAAATGTACAGAATTTTGACTATGACAATGACATATTTAATACTTAGCTAACACTTGGCAAACTAGCTTTAAAAACTTGATTACTTATTAAATACTTCCAAATTGAGGATGTCAATCTACCAATCACTATACATTCTTCATCAAACCTCTCTGTTCTTCCAAGAAAGCTTTAGTAATAATCTCAAATTTGGTAAGCATAAAGTACCACTTCGTTAAGTAGGAAAACACACATAGATTTTTCATGTCCTACTTTCTAACTCTAAACAGGTATTTTGTATACACTAAAATAATGCTCAAATCTAAATATATACTATTTTAAACACTTTAATTACAATCTGCTTATCAAATTTCAGATAATTATGTCTAGTGCCAGGATTTGATTTTATAGCTCTAAGATACAAAGTGGATGTATGTATATATATTCTTAATTTGGACATCTACTTTACCTGCTTCCATCAATTAATCAATTTATTTTTTTGTATACCTCTTCTTAGTACTAGCGAAGTGCTGAAATGCTGCAATGAAGTCTGACTCCAATTACCAACTGAGTAATTACCTTCATACATGTAAAGTGATGTTAAATACACACACAAGGGTATATTTCGTATTTCCCTTCCTGATATTTATAGTCTGAGAAAATAAGAAGATGTAACTTATCTAAGGATATAAACATTTTAGATATTAAGTTAACGAATACCAGTTGTGAAATAGAGATTAAATCTTTGCATTGAATCTAAAGAAATGTATTTTCATTGATGTATTTTGATGAAAATCGAGAATTTAGTCCGAACACTTTTCTCACATAAACCTATGCTACACAGACTCCATAGTTCAACCAAAACACAACAGGAAAACATTATTTGCCAATGTATAAAAACTTGGTATTTTAAAATGGTAGTTTACTGAATGACTGACATGAAGCAATATTATTAGCACCTTATTCTACAAAACTATTGTTTGTAATCTGGAGAAAATTAAGATAAGTTTTACAATATTTTCCATGAAAAGATGGGTATATGCAACTCCAAGAACAGCCTCCTCTTAATGGCATCTGCAATAGCCGATTCATTAGATACTCACCTTTCAAAAGAAGAAAACTATACAAGAGTATATTGCATTTAAAGATACTATACAGATACATTCGTAGAAAGATGTTTAAAAGCCAGTTACAAACCTTTTTAAAAGTTTTGTTAGGAATTTATTTTGGGGGCCAGGGATTAGTTCAGTGGTGTAAGTGCCTGCCTGGTAAGCACAAGGATGTGAGTTCAATGCCCATTCAAAAAAAATTAAGACTGATATTAAACTGAATTAAAGTTTTACCTTTACTATCACTGATACAAATAAAAATGTAAAAGCCAATCAAACAGATGTCATCTTATCCCAGAAAAAAATATCTATCACCAAGAAATCAAATAATAAGAAAAAGCTGTGGGAGAAAAGGTACCCTTCTGTATTGTTGGAGGGAATACAAAACAAAATAACTACTATGGAATTCAGTACGATGATTCCCCAAAAAGCTAAAAATAGAAATTCCACTCAACCAAGTTATTCACCTTCTCAATTCCTAAGTATCTTCCTAAGAGAATTAAAGACATAATACAGTGGTAAATGTATACCTATGTGTATAGAATGACAACTTGTAATAGCTACATCCGGGAAGTAGCCTAGATTTTCATCACCAGATGAGTAAAGAAAATGTGGTATTTATACACATGATGTATTACTCTGTCGCACAGGATAAATTTGAGTCTTTTTTAAAAAGTGGAGTTTGAGATCATAATGTTAAGTGAATTACACAAGTTTAAATATTGCATGGTTTCTATTATATGATAAATCCAAAGTATAAAAAGAAAAAAAAAAGATTGATAAAACAGGGAGATAGGCCTTTATGAATGGGAAAGGAATTAGGAGAAGAAGGCGGAAGAGGATGGACATGTGCCAACTCTGCACAAAGAAATACACTGCAAACATGTACCAACAGAAAATTTTAAAAGTATATGCACACACTCATCTACTTTCAAAACTGACACATGACAACAATCTTTCCTCTTTGGTCCTTTTATCAGGGCTTCAGGGATGACAATATACAATACAAAGGTTCAGACATCCTAGGTAAATACTGTATCACTGACCTAATCTTCAAGCCCTCCATTTTTTAATTTCATTAAGATGACTCTGAAGCCCTTATATCCAGGTATGTTTTATCTCTGTAATTTTTTTTAATAAAAGTGTTCTACTTGGGGCAGCTCAGTATCCTCAGCCTCTCAGCCAACAAACTGCCAAGCAACTGATACGTGCCAAGCATCAGGCTAAGTGCTAGAAATGCAAGGATGAACCTTATATAATCCCAGTCTTCATAAACAGTGTGAAACATCCCAAGTGAAGTCACAGAATTGATGAATTATGTATGATCCAATCAAGTCTAGAAGTAAAATCACATTTTTCCCAAAATAGTCAAAAAAGCACAGATATTACTGACATACACATCAATGTTAAAGTCAACGAAGATTCCAAAAAATGTAAAAAGTATAATAAATGCAAAGCAGTAGTAGATGTAAGCTGATATAAAAGATAATGAACAGTGGTCCTTGATTCCAAAGAATAGTTTCACAAATCTATCATGTTAGCTGGGCTTTCAATATGGACTGGCCTTCTAATTTGTAAAAGAAAAAACATTAAGTAAATGCAGCAGCGAAAATTCATTTACACTTCTAAACACGATACAGTAGAAGAACAGAGTCTGAACGTGGAATGTATTCTCTGTTAACATATCTAGGCATTGAGTATCAAATGGCTGCTAATATTAAAGCACAAAACTAAGCATAAGTCTCTTCTAATGGAAAAACATACATCACTAAGTAATCTTTAGGAAAAAAAAAATTGAATGTGAATATAACCAAAGCTCAGGTTTTCACTATCAATTTACAGAAAATACAGAGGGATGTATTTTGGGGGTCAAATGGGAACAATACAA